AGAGAACACAGTAGAGGTCCCAACTAACTGCAGGCCAGTCTAGGAGTCACATGTGATTCAAGGAAGAAGCTGACATCACCACATGACGTGATTCAACAGCTGCTGGTTGCCCAGAGTCCATTGCTGCACTCATCCTGGCCTGGCTTTCTCTGCTTTTTCCACTCCTCTGCTTCCCTGCACATTTGGGACTGTTTAAATATTCCTCACAACGCCCCAATGTAGCATGGCTGCAGGGCACTGTGGGAAATTGCTATTTTAAATGCTTACAGTGCCAGGGAGTAATTGAAGTGGTGGCTTCAGGCTGCTGAGAACAGAATATAAAGCGGCTGCTTCCCTCACACTGGTAGTGCCAGATACGTCCCCCAGAAGATTGCCAACATAGGAAGAACTCCACGTAGAGGGACTTTTGCTGATGGCCTTGTATTGGTTATATGGAAACAATGTTTTATTTTACTCTGCCAACACTGGTAGATTAAATTGACTGAGATTGACAGAGTCAATGTGGGTGGCTGCAGAAAAGCAGGCGGAGGCCACATGAGGCTTCCTGACTCCAGGTTGCCCATCCCTGCCAAATCGCATTGGTCGAGGTCACACATCATGCTAGGCCAGAAGAAAACAAGCGGTGGCTTAGTGCCACGTGCATACCCACTTCTTCTGATTAGAGGAAATATTCCTTCCCAACCACATACGTCTAAAGACCTATGTTGTGGGAGGATGGGATGGGAAATAACATTTTGGAAGGTTTTTGTTAAGAAATAATTTTCAGCAGAATAATGAAAAAAGAAAGGAACTCTGGAAAACATACCTAAATATATTTATCTCCCCGCTGCTAGATCTTTCTCACTGTTTGTCTCTCTGTGCAGATGAATTATCTCTTGGCAGGTCCATTTGGTGTAGTATTTCTGCATTCAAGAGATGTGAAAAAGGTTTTGTTAAATCTAGAGTGGATGTGGTGGGGAGACGAACATTTCCCCAAACTTCTGTTTCTTCCCACACACAAGTCAGGCCTTGGAGGTGGTGCAAAGATGCACTGGAACGGCAGGGTGAAGGCAAGCAGGTGGCTACCCTGGCAACTTAATTAATGCTGTAGCAGTTTGGAGGAGGGGGGTGCTGTTCTCTTGCTTTTCTTCACTGGCTGTGACAGCCTGTGTGGCTCAATTACAGGATAGAGCAAAGCATGAGAGATTGAGGATGGGGGCGTTAGAGAATTGAACCTGCTGCTATGAATGCTGGTGGAAAGAGCTAGGAGTGATTCTCTTCAGTAGGAAAGATTAAAATAGGGGGATCACAATTAAGTCAGGATTTTGCGAAGAACTGGAAGTGGGGCAAGACAAGTGCATTACATCTAGAACAGAGGCAGAGAACTGTTTGTCAGCGGATGTATCTTCAGCAGCACATGCCAGGGGTGGGTGGAGTTGAAACCATGAATGGGTGGAGCTAGAGAAACCCCTCTTTTTTCCTTTTTCTGCCACCCACTTTTCTTTCTTTCTTTCTTTCTGCCATCCCATTATCTCTCTCTCTGTCTCTCCTTCCCTCCCTCTTTCTTCTTCCTTGCCAGGGAATGTTGTAAGAGGAACACATTGCTCTTGCTAGAGGTCTAAACTAATGGCTTCCAAAAGACAGTTGAAATTGGGCCAAAGACCACAAGCGGCTCTAAGAGTGGCAAGTTGCCCACTCCTGGTTTAGAATAAGAGGAGTAAAAGCAAGAAGAAAGAAGCAGAGCAAGAAAGGAGAGAGAGAGAGAATATTTTCTTTTTATATTTAGGAAGATAAGGGGAAAACAAAAGGAAGATTATCCTATATGGATGAATAAGAGAAATGTGTGGATACGCCAAGTCTGGGACACCACTGGGCCCTTGGAGCAAGAAAATACAAGAGCAGTGTCAGAAGGAAGAGGAGAGAAAAAACTAGCAGAGGGTGTTAGGCACACTGGATTTGGAAAAACTCAGGAACTGCTTTTGAGGAAGTCAGGCTTCTGTCTGAATTCTCACAAGGTCAGTGTGTGTGCTTGTGTGCGCACATGTGTATGTTTTATGTGCTGATCCATCACATTGTGTCTGTTTTTGTTGTTGCATATTGCAGAATGGGGGAATACAAGTCAGCAGAAATGATGTTGGTCTACACAGAATCCCCTCACATGCTATGTTGGAGAGGTCATTGGTTCTAGATTTAGTTATACCTAAGGTAGGCCCATTTAAATCAGTGAGACTTACAAACTCTAAACAGATCCTTTGAACAAGCCCATTAATTTCAGCAGTTGAGCTTTAAGTATCAGCCTGGAAATAGTTCCACTTGCTTTTAGATGTAAAAACACCTAACCAAGCACTGGGAATTCACCTAGTAGACAACAAGTTGGGTTATCTTGTCCAGCTGTTGCCATGCCCCTCCTTACCTCCAGGGAATGTTGGCAGCTGATAACAAAGTGGCATGGAGGAAGTAGTGAGGAAGTGATGCTGTTAATTTCAGCACTACATTTATAGGTGGGAGGTTGCTGGCAAAGAGAGAGGAAATCTCTTATTTATTCAGATTACATAAGGCTTTGGGGTGTCCAAAACCATGTCCATTCGAATGGCAAAGAAAGAAACCAATGATGGCCACTTAGAGCTTTGGAGCTGGACTCCTTCCCATTGCAGCTTATCATTTGTGGGCTAGGTATTTATTACATGAAGCCAGAAACTGATGGGCTATTACAAGGTTTGCCAAGGGATATATGCCTAGTCCTGCTGAGGATTACAGTCTTATCAGGAAAAAAAAATACCATCAAGAAGTGCTTAAGAGTATCCATAGAGGAGCTTTTTTTTTTTTTTTTTTGAATTAGGCACTCAAGATGGTGGTATCTTTTGCTGCCTCCAATTTTTCTTGACAACAACCTTGTGACATAGGTTGGTCTCAGAGGCCCAGAGCTACCCACTGAGGTTCCATAGCTGAAAGCAGATTTGTGCCAGGTCCCCATTGATCTCACCCAGCACCTTAAACATTTCACCGTAGTAGTTCTCTATTTTGCCATAGAAATGTAGTCAAAGGGTAGAAGGAAAACATCAGTAAGTATTAGGAAAGAATTTGAAAAGTTTGAAAGCAAGCAGCATCAGTTACCTTTAGTCCAGCTCCAGAACCTATTAGGTTGATTATTGAATTGATCCATTTTCTGGGTTTGTACAACATGCTAACCTCTAACTAATCAAACAGGCTGGATTCAGTCAACATATTAAGACACAAAATAGGTTTAAAAAGATCAACATCCTAAGTGGATGCAGCTACTAGGTCTTTGACCAGGTTAAACATGTATTTATGTATTTATTCAATTTTGATGCTGCCCAACTGTGGGCCCCTCACCAAAAAAAAAATAAAATTGTTGTGCAAACGTAGGAAACAATCCCAGCTTTTCCCCCTCCCCAGCCCAAATCTGAAATGTAGGGCAATTATATACATGTTTGTTTATAATTTCAGTGGAGCTTACTCTCAGAAATGCTGGGCGCAGGATTGCAATCTTATATAGCTATTCAATCTTTGCAGTAAGTCCAGAAATTTTTCTTGCAGAAATTGTTATTGCCAGTTAAAGGCTATATTTCTATGATGGCCATGGAAGGAGGGTATATTATTTCTGTGGCTTATTTGGGAACCAACTGAATTGGCAGAAGAAAGAAAAAATGTTCCATGCCTTTTTCACCAACCTGTTGATGCACTTGCATTGAAGTCCTAGTTGCCTATAAAGTTTTTGCAAATATGAATTTAAACTAAGCATTTTGCTAGATCGACTTACAGTGCTTTGTCTGTTTATCGCATGAAACTGATTGTCTTAGCTTACATCGGTCAAAAAGGGGGTAGTCTTTTAAAGTTTAGTGAGATTACATAATTTATACCATCCCTTTTGATATAGAAGACTCACAAAATAGCTTACTGCAAGAACAAAACACTAGAAAAAATATAATAAAAGGATAAACAAAATGGCATAAAAGTTTAAACTTCAAAGATGCATTACAAATTCCTCCTGGCAACAAGGTCTGTCTCCTATAGACATGAGACAACATCTAAATATGGCTTCTGATCTGGGAAGTAAGAACTGGGAACCAAACTTAATCACACAAGAAGCAGAGCTAGATATTCACTCAGTCCTTCATATTGGCTGACAGCCTCTGCAACAATAAATTCTGTCTCACCAATGTGATATCAAGGTGACCCATCTACTCTAGAAAATATTTGGCAAGAGATTTTGAGCACTCTTTGTTTTAGCTGTCACTGGGGACTTTTACCTAGTCCTATCCAAGTACACTGAAGTAAATTCCATTCCCATTGTTTGCTGTCTAAAATGAGAGGTACTGAAATTTAACCGTTTGTGTAAACAAGTTTCTACAATTTAGACATACATTTTTGGACAAAAATGCAAGGAAGGAAATTAAATTCCTAGATATTCAGGAGCATCAAATATTTTGGTTCCTAGACATCCAATCACCTGGAATTCTATCAGCCTTATCAAAAAGTTGCAGTCAGTACATTGGTTTGTTAGCAACCACTTTGCTTAACAACCAAGTTGCTTGTCCCAATTGTGGTCACTAAACAAGAACTACCTGTACTCTTTGGTAAGTGAAGACAACTCTGCATATCTGAATACTTGAGGATCTGGTTATGGTTTGAAGCCTGCCAGATGGCTATATTGTTTGATCCATGACTTTCACTTGCTGCTTTTTCTCAGTTGTAATTTGGTTTTTAATGGCGCTTTTAATTTGGTTTTAAAGAGGGTTATTGTGTTTTTACTGATTTTTGGATTTTGTTTATTGGTTGTGTTATTTGGCTGTTTTTAATTGTGTGAGCCACCCAGAGTCACAAATGTGAGATGGGCAGCCATACAAATTAATAGAATAAATAAATATTCTTAGAAGCATTAATTTTCATGTCCTAGAGTCAGGTTTTGAGTTGACAAATTCCAGGCTAAGAGTTTACTCAAAATCAGGTCATTTTCATATCTGTATTATTCATTCTTGCCTTTTAAAATCTATTTCTAGGTTTTCAGCACTTATTCCAATGAGGAATATGACCGTCGAAATGAAGATGTTGATCCTATGGCTGCCTCAGCAGAGTATGAACTTGAGAAGAGAGTGGAGAGGCTAGATCTCTTTCCTGTGGAACTGGAAAAAGGTAATGGGAGAAATGTGTTTGGAGATGAATTTTCCTTTTGGAAACTGGTAGGAATGGGATGTTGTTTTCATCCAGATACATGGAAAGAAAAAATCCCCACAGTTAAAATGAAAAGGTTGTTTAATGAGTTCCCTGAATGAATATGTGCCGTAAAGTATAATAACCAATTGGTCCTAAATAAATACCAATTTTGTAACGTTTACATGAATCAAGAGAGAGAACATAAGGCATTTTGGTCAGATTTTTCTGGAGTATGAGTCCTTCTTGTATTGTCCACACACATTTTAAGAATAGGTGTTTTTAAGCTAGCTTTTCTCTGAGAAGGGCCACATTTCCAACGCACTGTGTCTTTTGCCCATCATCTTTAACTGCTTTCCCCCAATTATTTCCTTCTATCTTCTTGCCCTTCCCTTATCAGCTATTTTTCCCTCAGGAATGGCACAGGGAAAGCAGCAAGGAAAATAACCTGCTATGGCAGATATGGTCTACTTTTGTTCACAGGGCTGTAAGGGCCCTCAGCCTAATTTTAAAAAAACATTCAACAAGTAATCAGTTTAGATCTTTGATAAGACATATCTGTTCTTTCCTGCAGTCTGCTGCACAGGAGAAAGAGAAAAGGAAACAATATTGAAAGAAAGAGAACAGTGGACGTAAAAGACAATATGGCTGGAATCATAAACATGCTAAACCTTAAACCAAAGTGGATAAAATTCAGTTGCTGTGTTCATGTAACATACTGTGCCCAAACAAAATAAGCAGTATTATAGCTTAACATGATGTCCGGGTTCATTTACCATGCTAAGATAAGGCTGGCTTTCCACAACAAGCTGAATAACAAACTATGCATTTTCATCTAGTCCATACTAAGGCTTGGCTGCGGCTCCACCCAGCGCTTGTTCAGTCCTGCCCACCATGTGCCCTGCAACAGATTGCCCCGAGCAACCCTGGATAGAAAAGAAGTTACTCATCCTTGTACTAAGGATCATTGTCAATTCTAAGGCTGGTTGTGGTACCTGTTGTCATTAATTTGCTCTTTATATTTAATTTTAGTCCCACTTTTTCATTGTACTCCTTGACTTTTATTACTAGAGCTTGCAGTTCATTGCATTTTTAGTTATCAGAATAGTGTCATCAGCATAGCACAGATTATTGATGTTTTTTCCACCAATTTTAAAACCTCGCTCATCTTCTTCCAATCCAGCTTCTCTTAATATTTATTTAGCATATAGACTGAATAAATAAGGGGAGAGTATACAGCTTTGTCTCATTCCTTAAGGTTTAGCATGTCTGGTTTAAGGTTAAGTCTGTTTCACCATGTTCGATCCATACTGTGGCTTCTTGACCTGTACATAGGTTTCTCATGGATGTTCTGGGAATCCCATTTTTCTAAGCATATTCCACAGCTTGACATGGTCAACACAATCAAAGGCCTTTCTATAATCAATGAAGCACATACTGACTTATTTTTGGTATTCTTTCGCTTTCTCAGTTATCAAGCATGCATCAGCAATAATGTCTTGTGTTCCTCTGCCTTTTCTAAAGCCAGTTTGAACATCTGGCCTCTCTTTTTTTTCATGTAGGGCTCTAATCTGTGGTGGATATTCTAAGCATTAATTTGCTAGCATGTGAAATTAAAGATATTGTGTGATAGTTTGCATATTCTGTTAAGTCTCCCTTTTTTTTTTTTTGGTATTGTAATATAGATTCACCCCTTCCAATCTGTTAGCTACCGTGTTATTCTCCAGATTTGCCGATATAGCTTAGTTGGAACCTTTACTGATTCCTCTTCTGTTGCTTGCCATATTTCTATATTCTATCAGTTCCTGTAGTCTTATGACTTAGTAATGATTGGAATGCTGATCTAACTTCATCTTCTATACTAGAGGTTCTTCTAAATAGGGAATATCTACTAAGCTATGTTGGATGTTGACATCTCTACTATACAGTATTTCAATATATTCTTTCCATCTCCATGTAATCTCCTTTGAATCAGTTACTATCTGTCAATTGCCATTTTTTAACATATCACATTGAGGTTGGAAGTCCTTCTGAGTTCGAAGATCTTTTGAAAGACTTTCCTTGTTTTTCCATGTTTGTTTCCATCTTCAGTGTCTTTACAAATGTTGTAAAACTGCTTCTTGTCTCTTCTAACAGCTCTTTGAAACTCTTTGTAAAGCTCCTTCCTGAGATTTTTGTCTTTCATGGCTTTGGCTTCTCTTCTCTTCTCGGTAATTGCTACAGTTTGTTCTAACATCTAGTTCACTTTCTTCTATTTCTCCATCTTTGGCAGTCTCTTTTCACATTCATCCTTCTTTCAGTTCATTCCACAATTCCTTTGATTCTCTATCAATGAGCCTCAGGACTTGAGAGCAATTCCTGTTTTTCTCCTTGAAAATGGTGGGTATTGTTCTAGATCATATTGTGGGAACTGGTTGGCTTTCTTCTTCTTTGTTAGCTTTACTTGGAACTTGCAACATGAGTGGTTCGTGATCTGTTCCATAGTCAGCTCCTGGCCATGTCTTTGATGCTATAATTGAACTTCTCCACCTCCTTTTAGCAATTATATAGTCAATTTGATTTTTATATTCTCCATCTGGTGATGTTCATGTATAGAGGCATTGTTTTGGTGGTTTGAAGACAGTGTTAGCTATGAAGAAGTAATTAGAGTGGCAGAAATTGATAAGTTGATGTCCTGCTTTTCAGTTCCTAAGCCAACTATACATCCAACTGTACTTTCCTCCTTAATGTTTCCAACTTTAAATCACATCTTGCTTATGTATTCTGTCAATTTCAAATTGAACTTGATCATAAAACTCATCAGCCTCCTCTTCTTCTGCATCAGCATTTGGAGCATAAACCTGGATGATCGTCATTAATATGGGGTAGTCCACAAATTCTGATTGATGTTATTCAGCCATTGATTGCATTGTAGCCAAGTACTGTTCTTGCTCTACCCTTCCTAGCTATAAAAACAATGCCGTTCCTTCTTTGTTTTTCATGTCCTGAGTAATAAATAGTATGATCTTCTGACTGAAAGTGTCCAATCCTAGTTCATCTCAATTCATTGACGCCTAAGACGTCGATTTGTAGTTTCATCTTTCACTGAGTTGAGCTTTCCCATATTCATGCTTCTTACATTCCATATTCCCATAGTAATTCTGTCTTTGCAGCTTTGGATTTTCTCTTTCTGTATGGCAACATCAGGAACTAGATGTCCCAAAGGCTTTAATCCAGCCATGTAATAAACCCCATTTGTACTCTGAAAGACCCTCAGCTGTCCCTCAGTAGCATGTTGAGTGCCATCTGACCTGAGGGGCCCATCATCCAGCATTTTGTCATTTTATATTTTCTACCCATGTGGTTTTCTTGATAAAAATACAGGGGTGGTTTACAATTGCCTTCTCCCACACAGAATGAACTGATAGTTTTGTCATTGCCACAAAAGTGATCATCTGCCTCCAGCATCTTCCTTTATCGCTGCTGCCCAATATAGGTGTCTCCTTGCTTTAGCTGGGCAGCTGGCGTGACCTTCACGCCTTGGATAACCCTCCTGGGAATATATACTCTTGGCTTAAACTCCAGGTGTTTATGGACGTTTTGCTGAAAACAGACAAAAATGAACTGGTGATTTCTGGATTTGCTGATTAAAAAGGGATGAATATGGGAAGAAGGGAACTATATAATGTAATGATAAAAGTTTGTTTGTATCTGCTGCAAAGAAGATCGGAAGCTGCATCTTTAATTTTCTTGTTTTTTCTTTTTCTTTCTTTGTCTGTACTGTTTCTAGCACTTTTTCTTTTCTTTTCTATCTTTTTCTACTTTCTCTTTATATACACTTTCTTGTTTATCTTTTAATTATGTAAACACTTCCAATAAAAAAATGAATAAACTCCAGGTGTTCTTCATTCATCCCTCCCAGGAACACCCTTCTCCCCCCATCACAATGAGGCAGCACAGCAGGAATTGGGAAGGGGATTGAACCATAAACAACTAAATGAGCTGATATTGCACAAGACACTAAGTCCACCCATCCCCCCAAACCAACCAATCAGCCAGAGTTAAAATGAAGCTAAGCATGTTGTACAGATACAGCCGCTAGGTTTTTAATTGACCTGATTAAGCATGTTGAATGAACACAGCCAATTTCTCTTCAAAGAGCCAGGAAGAATTCCCCTGTAGTTGATGAGGAAATTTGCAGTAGCAGATTTTATTGGACTTGTTATCAGATTCTGGTAACTTTCAGTCTTGGCACCTCATATTTTAATGCAATACATCTCTTCCTTTTTCTCATGCAGATTCTGAGGGTCTTGGGATCAGTATTATTGGAATGGGGGCTGGAGCTGATATGGGTCTAGAAAAACTTGGCATATTTGTCAAGACTGTGACAGAAGGAGGAGCAGCTCACCGAGATGGCAGGTCAGTATGATTAATATCACATTGGGAATCGCATTCAAACTTACTTTGGAAGGAGAACTTACAGGCTATAGGCAATTCCAAAACAATAACTCCTATTTTTGTTGATCGTGTTTGCTGCAGAAGAGATATACTGCTGCCTAATGACAGCTATTGTTAAAATCCTGGATTTCGTCATCGTTTTCCGTGAAAAGTTCTAATTTTGACATGCCCAGAGGAGAAAGGTGTACATGTTTTCCTCCCTAAAAGCTCAGGCTCATAAGATGCCACTACATAAAATTAAAAACTCACCTTCCACGCATTATATTTGCCCCACCAATGTCAAAGTAGCATTTTGTTCACATAAACTAGAGTGAGGTAGATTTTGCTGAAAAATTCAAAGCTTCCTCTTTGACAGACAGTGAAAAATCATACCACCCTGAAGAAGGAACATCAAGCTCTCTTTTTCCATCCAGGATTTATTTTTGGCTGATTTTCCTCAAAAAGTGGAAGGAGAAGCCCATAAAAAGAGAGAATAGCAACTAAAAGCTTCCCTTTTACTATCTATGTGAGTCTATTTGTTTTATTGTGCTACTCTGCAAGCAAACTTTTCAGGTGCTGGGAATATTCTCATAAGGTGAATACAAGTACTAAGAATTTTACAGAGTGATCTTAAACATGTTTATTCAGAAGTAGGGTTCATAAAGTTTAACAGGCTTTAATCCTCCACTCATTTCCATAGGAACAGGTCAGTAGGACTTATTTCTGAGTAAGCACATGGGACTGTGTTCTATGTCATAATAAATTGCCAAGTTTAAGACTACTCCTTTAGTTTGTGTGTAATCATTTCCTAATGAAGTACATGGAAATATTCAACACTGGTAGTAAAGGCAGTAATTACTCCTAAGCACTGGAAGTGTCTGTTGGTCAGTTTCTTCTATTTTATATACACATTTATAGTACTAGGGGAAGTAGCTCAAAATGACAAAGGGGTCTGTTTCATATTGGCCTTTTTGACATTTCATCCCATCCTAATAAGATTTTCTTTTAAATAAGTTTAGTAATTAAGCACAAGATTTGATTATTAATTTCTTTTTAATCAGTTTCACTGATGGTTGCTTCTGTCGATATATGCACGTGCAAATGTTAGGACTGTGCAGTGTGGTTCCAATTTAGAAAAACTGCTTTGGAATGCACAGAGGTCCAGATGTAGCATCTCTCTGTAATTCATTAAAAGAGCTGAAGCATTGCACAGCCCTATAAAATATGATAAGAGATTAAATTTGCCACTTAGAACATCAGGCAGAAGTACCAACACCCAAGACATTTAGTCATAAGGTGGCTACTTTTCACATAGCAAACCACAAGACAATGCTCCTCAGATCTCTCCACACATTGGTAGGAAGATCATGGGAAATTTAGTCGCTCTTAAATGTGGTTCTAATTTACCAAGGACGAAACACATAAATAATAACTACCTAGTTCATTTATTTATTATTTGTTATAGTTTATAGGAGAAATTGTATTTAAACCATCTGTTCTCCCATCCTCATAACAGATCATGAACATGTCAAAAACAAATTATAAATGGAAACATTAAATGGAAACAGTGTTATGCAACAAAAAGACAGCCTTTGTTCTTGAAGAATTGTTAGGAGGGCTAGCTATATCTTACATTGCAGCTGTAGCTTTAGCAGCTCATTTTCCACTGCAAACTGTCCTTGGAGGATGCAGTTTGCATTAGAAGAAAAGATGCTTTAACCCTTCACCTGGCAGTTGATTTGCCCTTGAAAATCCTGCCCAAATGCTTCCCACTGACAATATTCTGGTCCCAATCACATTGTAAACAGTCTGGAATCCCATGGATGGAAAGCGCAACTGAGAAGGGGATATTCAGCAGGGGAGTAGCAGGGAGAAGAAGGATTAAACATTCCTTTTCTTATCTCTCTCTCTCTCTTTCTCTCCCCCACCCACACC